ATAGGCACTTTAAATATTTCAGGGAAAATAAACTAATCATCCAAATACACTGTAGTTTCTATGCATGTAAAAAACACTCAGAGTGAACAATGAGTGTTTGGCTGCATTCTCACACAGGATTTACATAATGCACACTCTTCTATTTACACAGGAATGATCAGTTATTGTCAACCATTAGACATCCATTAGGGTGTCAAAACAAATACTTAATTACCTCTCCTGTCAGAAGATGAATGATTTCAAAAGAATGTTTGAGAATCCTGACTGTCATGAGTTTCTTGCCATTGTTACGCCCATGCATCATCATGGAGTTGGTGATACGCTCAACAATAGGGCACTGAAAACACAAACAATGTATGTCATACATTCATCATCATTATCTAGGGATAAAGGTTGTTCTTTGGTATTCTTAGTGAAAGTACATTTTTATTTCAGTACTTAATATATCCCCAAGACATCTTGGTTTCTAGCTCTATCAATCCAAATTATTATTTAGATTACTGTTTATTTGATGAGCAGGACCCAAAAAATGCCTAACAACATGCTAATGCTGGAGTTGTCAGTCTTGCAAAATAAGACATTTTAGCAATTCTGATGCCATAAGGAAAAATTGGGTTGATTTGACATTGCAATGCATTGTGGGACTGTTTTGGGGACGAAATAGATTCCAACTCAACCCAGTTTCTCCCTAATCCTTGGAATGGCTAATAGCAATCTATGTATAAAAGGGGACATTGGTACCCTGTGGACAAATTACAGAAATTTAGCTCTGGGAATCCTTTGAAATTTAATGGATCATTTTTGAAACAAAATGATATAAAATATTCTCTACGTAACCAAGGCTAACCCTGAGCAGAAAGAATATAAAACTAGATCGTTATTCATAATCTTAAAATTCCAAGCATTCTTGCATGGACGTTCTTCATACCTGAGCTTTTCTGAATCTCTTGGCAGCATAACGACCAGCTGTGTGGGGAAGGTATGTAGAATACTTTTCTTTGACGGCAATGTAGTCCTATAAGTGCAAAATATTTTACAATTTAACTCTTATCTTTGTTCCTAGTAGTTAAGGTCCATTATTACAAAGGTATCTCATTAGGGTAACACTGACAAGAAGAGGGCTTAAAGTTTTGGCTTGTCAGTTGCTGGTCATAAGTACTTGCCAAATTCGCTTTAGCTTGGTCATACCTCATTTCCGGCTCAACATAACTGGTGAAAAAGACCTGCGAGGCAGAGATTTCAACATACAGGTTCCAATTCTGGCCAGGCATTTTCAGATGACTGATCGTTATTTTTATCCCTGCAAGACTTATTCCTCTGGCTAACTGAAAGTTTTTCTTATGAACTACATGTAGTAATGCATCTGGGCCTAATGATTCACTGATTGTAGTTGAATACTTACAGTTAAGCTGATGTCACTGACTTGAACATCTTCAGTGCTCCATTTACCAAACAGTTTGATATCTGGTACTTCTGGTGCTACAACAGCAGGAGTGTCATCTGATTCTCCCCAGTCATCAGCCATGATGGAGACCTGAAGAAAAATAGCCATGTTAATATCATGTAGCCCTGCTTTTTCTGCACAGTATGGAGTATAAAATATTTGCTTTCCTAATCACAGAAAGATTGTTGCTCCTTTAAGAAATAGTAAAATTTAAACAGGAATTATATGGGCCTGAGGGTGAGCATGTTTCATTTACTGCAGCAGCACTATACTTTGTACTTCAATGAGTTCTTTCAATTGTGCTCTTCACAGCTAACCATTTACGTATAGACACTTCACTTTTGATATTGTTACATCAATGTAAAAATCCTTCCCATCAAAACATCAAAGTGAAGCACCAATACCTAATTGGGTAGTGGTAAGGAGAACAATTCAAAGTGACCAAAAGATGACAAAAAGGAATAAAAAACTTGTGGACGAGTTCACGTTAAGTCCAGTTTTTAAGGCTGGCATCCTCATCAATATTTCATCATGCTCCTCGTGGCCGCTCCAAGCACAGGCAGCCCAACAAAAGTGGAGCGGTTAAAGGGGCCAGCGTCTGGACTAACCACCACCTAATAGAATCTCATTAATGGGCAGTGTGTCATTAAGGACATATGCTGTTGTATGCAATCAATAGAAGTAAACTTAATCATAAGGCATCTAAGACACTTTCTCATGTCTTAATTCTAAGTGCATGCTCATGCTTGTGATCTTATAAAAAGCCTCTGCTTTGCATTGCTTTCTGACAGTGTGTCAAGCTCAATGTCTAGAAGCAAGCAGTGATTTGGTGCAGTAATAAACCATGCAAACCATTAGTACAGAAACTTAACAAGATCAAATGTGAGAAGACCCCAACAAAACCTGACACCACATGGAATAGGCAAACCAAAGCCAATAGCCATGACTTTGTACTCATTATTAGCTATTTTGGTGCTTCTAGGAGAAAGCATTACTACAAATATTCATGGGACGGGTTTTTTGGGGATACTAACTCATACCTAGCGAAGTTTTATCCAATTTTGGTCAAGAACTACCCTAAATTTTAATGCGAAAAGGAAAAAGATTTGCCGGTTTGAACGGGACCACATTTCAATACCCTCAACAAACACACAAAATAATCAATGTTAATAACTCAACCAACAACAATCCTTGACACTGTAAGAAAGAGAGATATCTAATGAAGCTAACAAACTCAGAGCTATACTTGAAAGCCCTTTTTTAGTGCTTAAATTACGGTTAAAGTTGAATCGATTATTTCATCCGCCATCTTACCTGAACAGTACGTGTAAGAGAAAGAACGAAGCTTCGGCACGTGGGTATCATAAACGGGGTGGACCCGAACTACTTCGAGAAATCAGGGCGATATCCGATAAATTATCGACTGCAAAACGAAGATTGATCGACAAGCTTGGGGTGTGGGAGGAGAGGTCACGTGACAAGAGGGTCAGCCATATTTGTGGTGTAACAAAAACAAGTGCATCGCTGTGTCAACCGGAATTTTAGCTGCAGTTTTTCCCGGTAAAAAATGGTGTTTTTCGAGACTTGTGGACCCAACGAGGCTATGGTGGTCTCAGGTGAGGTTTGATCTTGTGTTTAAGCTGTTTTGCGGGGAATAATCATCGTTTAATTGTAGATTTGAAATGGACTAGAAAATCGTGAAACCAACATGTTGATTAATCTTTCGTCTTTCTTTCATTCAGGGATGTGTCATACGAGGCCAGCTCTGGTCACAGGTGGTCGGATTTTTGTCTGGCCTATTTGCCAGAAGTTACAGAAGTAAGTTGCCTGTCCTTCCTAAGCAGTTTTCATTCAATGTTTCCAAGTTCTTAGAGTGAGTTATGAAGGGATGGTAACGCCTTCTGAACAACAAATATGCCAGGGCTTTGCATGAACAGATGTTTTGATCGGTAATCCTCGTGTGCTTAGTTGTTAAAATTGAATTTCTAGTTCGTTTTTATACGTTTCGGTCTTATGTAAAACTCGTAGAATAAAAATGCTTATTTTCCGATAATGTGTGTGCTAATTCTCATGTTAAACATATAGTAATTGTGCTGAAGTGCTTCTGTATGTGCTGTGATGTCATAATAACCAAAATAAGCTGTCGTATCGTCACATTTCTTTGTTCGTTCGTTAGTATTTTCTTCTTTGATAGTAAGCTTAGTTTTCTAACAGTAGTAATCATTTGTTTCATATTAAATATTTATATATTTTATAACAGCTAAGTTAAGATTTTGACTTCGTTTTGAGATCGAATAAACCATGGGTCATCACTGTCAACGCAGATATTTCTGCTCAAATCAATACGTTATATAATTTGGTGTATGCTTGACTTCATGTGTTACTTATATACCTCTTCAGGATATCTTTAAACACAATGACCCTCAATGTTGAATCACCAAAAGTTTACACCAGACATGGAGTACCTATATCAGTTACTGGGATTGCACAGGTGAATTACAGTCAATGTTTTTTTCTTATCTATGCACATTCTCTACATTACGGATGACTTTTGCAAATAACTTGCTTTTAAGGCTAAGGCTGTTCAGCTATGAGCCTTTAGTCTAAAAGCACAGTGGTATTTACTGAATGAGAAAAGGGACTTTAAGGTATAGGTACTTCACTTTGATGTACCGATATCATTACATTGATCTACAAACTCACTTATCAATGCATCAAAGTGAAGCATAGATACCTAATTGGTTGGCCATAAAGAGCATAATTAGAATTTGTCAAAATCTGTACTGAAACCACAATCTACATTATAAAAAAGTAAATTCGAAGTCAAAATGCATGGTTTCACTATTGAACAATGAGAGGATGATACACTGAGTATAGATTCAAGAATGAGTTGAATTTTATTGGCGTAGTGCTCTACACTAGTCAGCCATTCATGCACATACATACTCATATACTTTATTACTTTTAAGTAAAAGCTGTTGTTTATTATCAAACAAAAAGCCTGGAACTAAGAATATTAATATTGACCTACAACCAAAATGTTCACTGATTGGCAAGTTTGTTCTGGATGAGCGTACATTAAGCGAACTAACCTGGAAAGTTTTACAAGAAAATCAAGAATCTTACTTCAAAGCTTTTTGAGTGTAACCTTCTCGACATATTGTCAGTTATGGAAATGCAGTTTAAAAAAGATAAAATAAAATTTATGATGAATTCCAAAGTAACAAAGACACTTTTGAGATTTTTTATAGAGCCGACATGTTTTGTCAGTGACTTCGTCCATTTCCAGAAAATAATGAAGTTACAAACCGTGTTGATAATTATTAACATATGTACAAATCCTCGGAAACCCAGGGGTAATGTTCTGTCGCTCGTTTCTCACTCCCAGAAAAAGTACCCCTGGGCATGAAGTCTGATCCGTTACGGCTTTTTCGGGAACATGTTTGTTTATGTATACTTGATGCAAGGGCACTAGGACACCGAATGTCATTGGATTTCTATAGGTTTTTTTTTTTCCTTTCGATTGTTTGAATTAAATCAACGTTATACTTGTTTACTTATCTTGCGTCCGTGTTCCTTCGTTCGCTGTTGTAATGCAGACGTTTTCATTCCAAAGGTCAAATGGTTTGAATAGCCTATGAGCGTTACTTCTTTAACGGCCGTTCCGTACTTGACTCTGTTTGTACTATACCAACAACAACACGACCACTTGATGCTCCTTACGTCAGTAATATTCAACCGTCCAGAGTTAATATGGTTAATCAAATCCACCTTAAGTTTCATATAGAGCACCGGGGTAGGCTACTAGCCTGCTTGCCATTGTTCTCTCGTCTACTCGCTTAATCCAATTATTTTGAAAGGTCGGGTGGCAGTGTGTTTACACAGCAATGACAGATGCAGCACCAACGCTAGTGTACGAACCACTGCCGAGCCTAGACGGGGGTAACACGATCTCCCTCGGCCCTCACTCGGACCCGAATGCTAGTAATTCGAACCCTAAGACGTGACTACCCGATTACGGCCTCTATAACTTAACACGGTACAGGAGTTAGAGATTTAAGTACCATCGATGAATGACAACGCACTATTACCACACACACTAAAATCCCCACTCTCATGCGACAATTTTTACTCAAAGAAACTTCCCCCTTTTGTATCATCAACTACAATAAAGGAAATTTTTTAGGATATTTTGTAATGGTAAACTAATCTTTATTTGTTTACTTACTTGTACACGTCCAGTCAACGTGAGCATGACCTAAAATGACCTACTGGTCGATATTGATATTTTTGAACTGTAACTGTCTGATCGTTGAGGTAGAAAAGTTACATTTCATTTCGTAAACAGTACCCTGGGTTCAAGATATACTTTTCTCTAACTGCATTCTAATATTCTAAGGATAGTTAGAAAACTCATTAAT